TTTTATAGCTTTATTATTTCGATGAGACCAGAATTTCCCTTAATGTATCAAGTGGGCCACTTGACATAATTACAGATTTTTCTAGCATGTTTTCTATAGAGAAAAATAGTTGATATGAATAAATTCTGGAAAACTGTGGTAACTACACCTCCCCAAAGTGAATACAACAAACATCTGTTGCAAGAATTGCTTGGCTTTCAGACAGTATGTAAAGGGTGTTCTTTTTCCCAGAGTTTCGTTATTTTTTTTAAGCTTATTTGTTAAAAAATACATGTTTCCACTATCAGTTCTTAAGACATAAAATCTTAAAATTCTGGTAAGTGAAACACAGGTCATTATCAGGTGTATTAGAAAGGAAAAATATGCGATGTACAAGACTCCACTTCCTTCTGAAAGGGCAAGAAATAATTGGGCATGTTGCCCTCTGTCTGTGGGTCACACAGTAATTTTAACCATTGTCTTCATGTCTTAATTCAGTGCTCCTCACAAACACACCAACAGTCATAGTAGGGGAAGGGACTAAATATAGGACTTCCTAATGAGTTTTATTCTCTGCTGGAATCCCATAGATAACTCTGCTTTCTCCTTTGGATTTCACTGGCTTCTACCTACTTCTAAAGTCAACAACATCCTGATATCCTCATTAAATAATACGTGAGTTCATAAAGTTTTACTCCAGTGACAGGATAAATAATTGTACATTTTCTGCATTAAGGACAAAAATGTAATAATTTCCAATAGGGGGAGGAGAAGAATCAATAAGTCTTTATGACTCATTTTCTTTTCTTAACTGCAAAGTTCAGCGCTTTTTGGTAAGCTGAATGTATCTTTTTTCATTCTGAAAGAACAGAATTCTGCCTAAAACTCACAGGTATTTTGCAGAGCAAAACACCATCTTTTTAGCATTTGGAAATTCCATACAATACACACAAATTAACAGGTACAAATGAATAAAAATGCTTAACAGTAATAGGTCACAGGGCGTGTGATACCTTTATGAAAGAAAGGTCATCTTTTTAGATGACCACTTCTAAATATATTTCTCAAGTAACTTGTGACTTTGCTAATTTTTCAATCTTCTACCCCCCCTTCTACACATACCAACCATTTTAAGGTTACTGTTTACAAAACGTTTTAAGATTCTGTTTCACAACTCCATTTTTATGCTAAAAATAAAGTATTGATTTCATTCTTAAAACATTCCCAAGAGTATTTCGATAGGGCATTAAAACACACTATACAGAGAAAGCTCTTTGTCATAAAGAAATGGGAAAAGTCCAGGAAGCTTCTCTCTTTTTTCGGGGTGGGGCCAAACCCACAGTAACTATGAGCAATTCATTATGCTTCCACAAACTTTAAGACCTATAATGGAATTTGTCCATGTATCCCATTAAAGCAGTCTAAAATGTTAACATGCACCTGTATAGTATGTGTTTTTATAATCATAGGGAAATGGTATTATACAAATTCCATTACAGGCACAAATTTTGAGAATAGTTAATTAAAAATGGATACAAATAAAGAAAGAAGTCAAAGTCACATATGCTCCAGTATATACAAGTTTAGAATCATTTTCAAACTATTTCTAAGACTACTCTACATTTACAGTCGTCTGTCTTACTAAAAGATACATCACAAAAAGGGAGAAAAAGATATTTGCCCTTTACCTAGGAAAGCAACCAATACACACAAGGAATACTCAAAAGCAATTAATTGCTAAAAGCTTCCTTTATTCAATGTGACAGTCTTTAATTCCTATGGAGGGTTACCACAAGCCATATGTTGGATTTAAAGAATACGTTAGTTTCAATTATAGGACATCTAAGGAAAACAGATAAAAAGTGTCTTAAATTTAAAAGCAAAAAGAAAAGAAAATCTCTTTTCAGATATTGCATATAATTTGAATAACATGATTTGAAATTATAATGGAACTTTATCATAGGTTACATTAATATGTATATATGTTATATATACACATTAAACTATCTATGTGTATTCTGTAATATACACATATATAACCGTATTTCCACAATGAATATCAGAATAACAATGCATTTGCAGCAAAGGACCTTATAATTATAAAATAATTTAACATCCATAGCTACCCATCATTACATACAACTATATCCATTCTACAGGCAGAAAACTGATGCTGAGAAGTTAAAAGTTTTACCCAAGGTCTTAAGAACAGATCAGGAAGGCACCACAATTACAATGCTAAAGATCTGCACATTAATGATGTTCTGAATAGATTTTTATTGCTATTTTTTAGTTTAATTACTATTATCTGTAAGACATTTTCCAAAATCTAGAAAGAAAAAAGTTGCTAAATACTTAACGCTGAATGAGGCAACTAAAGATAGACACGAGCTCTTTCTGTTTAATAATATATCCTTGTCTCTACTATTTTTCTAAAACTTAAAACTCTCTGAATATGGTTACTCTTTCACTTAGTACTTCAAACTTCAAAGTAAATTATCCAAATTAATCCCATCACTTTAACGTAATAAATCGCATTATTCTTATTTTATAGGTGAGAAGCCAAGCACAGGAACAAAGCTATTTGCCATGGGACACACACTAGGTATGAGGGAGGTTTGGAGTTAGAACATGTTATGTTCTTGGCACATCTACGTTTTGGACTAAAGGGCAGTATCACTCCTATTAATCATTTTATTCCAAAGTCACTTGAGGAAGCACACAGTTTTCTGAAGGAGAGGGGAAAATACATTCTGAAAGTTACAAGTATAAAGGAATACATCAAGGGTTTTGATTTCACTGTATTTAGGTTATAATTACCATAATTCAAGTTTTAAAAACTATTCACATACCTTATTACTTTAATACCATGAATCAGAAGCTCTACTGGATGAGACACTAATTATTTGCCCAGAATCAGTCTTATGTTTTTATAGGAGAGATATAAGCTAAGAAATGAAATTAAGTGAGGAAGATAAACAGTGGGTCCATGTTAAAATGTATTTGGTGGCATGGAACTTGCAAGATAAGACATTAGTTTTCAGCCTGGCTGATAACAGAGCCCATTGCTCCCAGTCAACAGTGAGCATTTTGGAGGGACAAGAACATGGCATTTGAGGGCAAGTGATATACTGTAATATACTTAATGCTTTCCTTGAAAAGCTAGAGGAGAATGAATTAAGTCAGTAGGTTAAATAAATGTTAAATAACCAGGCCTTTACCCCTTCAAAATATATGAGAAAAATAACCAGAAACATCCTTTAACTTCTGCTAATCAGCTAAAAACAATCTGTGCTATCCAAGAAGGACTAGGTATGTAAACAGGTGCTATCAGATTGATATAGACTTTCTGTTTCCTAAGAAAACTAAGGTTTCATGTTGAAAACATCATAATCAGTATATCCCTAATTATATGTATCTTTCCACGTTCAAATATGGCATCAAAAGTCCAACAAACAAGGTAGACAAAGACTGTCACATTAATGAGACATACCTCTTGTACTGAGCGAGCTGCTGGCTTGTCTTGATGATTGGCCAATATTAAAAAGGGTAAAGTGCATAACTGTGGGTGCTGAAGAGCTGAATGCAGTTCATTTCTAGCAGTTTCTAAATCATCTTCTGAAGAGGCACTGTCTAATACAAATATTACCCCTTGAGATCCTTGGTAGTAGCGGCTCCAGTATTTCCGGATATTATCAGCCCCTGTCAAAAACAAAACAAATGTCCTTTTTAAAAATAGCTTTCAGTAACTGAAAAATGTTCCCAATAGTAATTCCTACTAGAAACCAATATATCTTTTGAACACTAAGTGCTAAACTCCATGGTGTGGAATAGAACAGGAATTTAGAAAAAGCACAGATCAGAGTGGACTGGAACAAAGAAGATATTAGATAGAGTCAACAGGTAGATATGGCCTTGAAGGAGAACACAAAAGTTTAAGAGCCATACTTCATGACTTTCACATCAAAATGTGTGAGAAAGAACCAGGATAAATACTTCTTAGACTTAAACCCAAAAGAATATTTTTAGATTTTGCTTAATAGTCCTAAATGAACCATACTCCGTACAAATTGAGTCTGAACTTAGAGAGCAGGGTGACCTAGAAGTCAACCAAAGCTTCTTTCCATACCATTAACATTAGCTTGGTGATATTTTTTAATAGAACTGCTTGAAGATCATGACAACCTTGTTTAATTTCATGTAGAGTTATGAGCACAATAACTCTATGTGTCAAAAGCGCTAAAATTTGTGAACAACTAAAAACTTGGCCTTTGGTACGTTTGTATAAATCCATCTGCGTTCATATCCCATGGGGAAGGATAAAAGGCAATGAGTGTACACTCATGCTCTCAATGATATGAGATGTTTATAAAAACTTATGGAGATTCTCTTCGGCCAGGCACATCTTATTCCTCTTTGTATTTCCAATATCTAGCACAATATATAACTCAAAGTTCAATACAGGAACAAGGAAAATGATGGGATGAGGGAATGAAATTATACACTAATTAAGCTTTACAAATTTTGAGACTAGAACTTTAGAGATTATTCAGTCCAACTCTCTGAAGAAACTGAGGCAGAGAGAGTGAGGCAGAGAGAAATGAAGTGAGTGAGGCTGTTATGCGTCTAGTAAGTTGCAAAATTGGGATTTACATCTGAGTTAGTATAGTAGACAACCTGCCCAGGGAAGGTATGGACATTTCCCATTACATCATGAAAACTCGTTTTATTACTTTGATTCATGAACAGGATGGGCAATTTTTGTGTGTGTTAGAGTGTGTGTGTGTCGGGAAGGGGTGTTATTGGTTACATAACAAAAATTAGATTTCAAGGAATTTTACCAATTTACTGTATATGATCAGGTCCCAACCAGTCAATAACTATATTTTAGTCTGTCATTGAACATCTAGCTTCTATATGTTCAACATACTGTGATAAGTATTAGGGATAGAAACAGTGGGGACTGGCATTGGTATGCAGTGGCTGGCAAGAGTCACCTGTGTGCATCTCTTCCCAACTCTATGTTCAGTGGCATCATGTTGGCGGCTTAAAATCAGCCAGGGAGGGAGTAATTTCACCATAGAAATCAGCAAATACTACATATCAGGACTTTTCCTTTCCCAGAGAGCCAACATACCACTTGATGACACTGAGAAAGCCATATTTTCTGGGAGAAATAGAAAAGAAAACTCAAAAGATTATAATACAGTGTAACAAAGTACTGTCCTAGAGGTAATCAGTAGGTGCTCTAGGAGCAAAACATAAGGCATCTTACCTAAAGTAGGGCAAATCTCTTAAAAGAATAATATCAGTAATCAGTCACCATTTATTAAGCATTTCCTATGTTCCAGGTACAGTGCCAAGTGTTTTAAAAAGAATAGCTCATATAATTCTTACAATAACCCAAGGAGGGAAGTATAATTGACTCAGGCTTTGAAACTAAGTTTCAGATCCTAAAATCTAGGATATTCACCATTATACTATACTAAAACAAGTAGGTATGTAAGAGAATCAAGGACATTTGATGTCGAGTAATGTTAATATACAAAGATATGGGATATGAGTAGGCAGGATGCATATTAGACTGGGTCCAACCAAGAAAACAAAACAAAAATAAAGAAAGAATAAATTTAAGCCAGAGATTATTTAACATAGTGAATTAGCTGCATTAAGTGATGGTGGAACTAACCAAACAACAGGGGTACTAAGAATAGCAACATCTTAGGTTAGGTTGCCTAGAAGCAGAGCCTAAGATGGCATTTATTGTACACCTGATTATAGATGGATTGCTGTCAGGAGAAACCAGGAGTGAAAGAAGCAAGTTGGAATGAAGGAAGAAGCTAGGCAAAGATACTATTTCAGAAATCTAGCCTCAGCTTGATGCCATGAGGAACTCTAGAGTGTGGACTGAACCACAGAAGTTGTCCAGTCCAGAGGCAAGGGGGCTGGACTATTTCACCCTGTATAGTCATTGGCTATGAGCCACCCCAGGGGAACAGGAGGGGACTGGGGCCTCATTTCCTAATCTCCCAAACATACTTGGTTGGGGCAATTACTGTCAGCCAAGGGCAGGCCTCTGGAGAAGGGTACAGGTGTGAGTCATTAGCAGCCAATACCCGCAGCAGCTGGGAGATGGATGCACTGGCCCAGTAAAGGAGCTCTGGGTAGGATACCAACAGCATCTGCTACAAGCTACATCCAGACACTATCCATATGCTAGAGAACCATCCATAAGCTTGAGGGACAAAAGAGGAGGCAGTGTTACCCAGTGGTAAATGTTCAAAACAACAAAAATATTGTGTGCATATCTATCTGTACATAAGACTGTTATAAATTTTACTAACATAAAGGATGGCTAGCACACAATTTTCATATAATAAGAATATATACAACATGCTTTATTGTAAATTCCATAGAGCCAGTTAATGATCACAGGATGCTTTCACTGATTTTGTATCCATAGCCAACCAATGGTTGCTATTAACCAACTAGTGTAGTTCTGACATGAATGGTGGTTGCTCTGTTTTACATATATTAATTCATGTATCCATGACAGTCTAATGAGGTAATTACTTTTATCATTCTCCTTTATCAATAACGAAACCAAAACACAAAAAGATTATGTAATTTCCCCAAGGTTAAACACTGAAAATACGTTTAGGTCCAGTGTGACTGAAATAGAGGTATCATTGACTAGAGAGGCAATAAGGCTAAATAAAGAACTGTACTACCACATAAGCCAGGAGGAAAAACATGGAACCCTACTGGAACAAAAGGTACCTAAGTGCCTATATATTAATGGGAATATGTCCAAGAACAATTTCCAGCCAATTAATTCAATGAACATTTATTAAGTACCTATTCCATACAAGTCTCTGAGCTAGGAACTAAAGAGTTATTTAGAAAGCCATTATTCCTCTTAGCTCAAAACCTCAAATCCTATGAAGTAATAATAATTACGAGGCCTGCAACTATATCAGAGGGAACAAACATGTTTGCACATTAGAGGGTGCCCAGGGAGTCGTTTATAAAGAGAAGCATTTGGTTGCATGTTTTAATGGAATTTTTCCATTGGAGACACATGAGACAGTGGAAATTCAACTCATGCACTCATCTCTTTCAATGAAAAACTATATTTTCATTTGCCACATTTAGGAGTATATAAGGTGCCTGAAAATAGTGAGACAAAACAACAATACATCCAATGACAATATTAGTGGGTAAAACAAACCCAAGGAGAAATACCATAAATTTTTAAATGCCCCTTATATGACATAATATATGAATAATATTAATAGTGAAAAGACCCTTGTCTTTAATCTCCTGCTACAATCTTCTGCCCAATCTTAGCATTTCTAACTTTCATCACAAACACTGAGCTTATAATTCTAAATTCCCCTTTAGCCTCCTACACATGGCTTTAGTCAGCCAACACATAGCTAACACAGATTGGGGCCAAGGAAACCAGCAGTGAGGAGAAGGGTGGTATACAGTTGTTGAGTCTGGCTTAGTGGACTATAGTTTAGTCACTAGATTAAAATGAGAAATGACTGTCATCAATCCAGCTGCTTTGAGGAGTGATCCTAACTGGGAAGGTTAGGGACACCTGTTTGATGCCTACATTACCACAAACCAAATCCAAAAGCAGTAACAAATGCAGGAAGTGACATCTACCAGCAGTCTGAGGCCACTCTTACTATAAGGACAGAAATTCCCTGCTCTGTGTCTCTTCAATTAGAATTTGTTATATAAAATGGTTAAACTTCATCTTTAACTTATTTGTACCTTTAGATTAAAAAAACAAAAGGTAGTCTTAACAGTAAAGAGCCCGGGCAGAGGGTGTTGCCAAATGTCCTAATTACCCAAGGCCCAATCCTGCCTTACTAAAAGTTGCAAGGAACCCCTGGGAATCTAAGAGCTCATTCTGAGAGCCAGGTTCAAGGTACCACAATAAGAACAGAGGTAAAAACAGGATAATAACAAGTCCGTACTGTGTAAGTTCATTTCTGTGGCACACTATGGATGTTAACAATATTCTTGCATTTATTGTTTCATTTATCTAACAGATATTTACTGAGGACCTGGAACCATTCTAGGTCCTGGATATACAGCAGTAAACCAGACAGACAAAACCAGACAGACAGTCAGTCTTTGTATTGCTCACAGCAGAGCCCGCCTACAATTACAGAGGTTAATAATTCCAGGTACTCATTTTTCTCAGCCTCGCTTGCAGCAGCATGGACATAAGATTCAGTTCTGGTCAACTGGGACCTAACAAAGGTCTGCGGGGAGCATCTAGAAAAGATTTTGCTCTTCAACAAAAAGGAAGATGGCCAAAGAGAGCTACTTCTCTCTTACAGATTTTAGATTTCCTTGGATGAAAAGGTGATGCTTTAAATAGCATTAGCCTTCTAGCAACCTTAAAGGAGATATACCTATACCTACACATTGATGATGTCAGAACAGGAAGACAGAGCCTGGGTCCTTGAGAACACCAACATTGAGCAGCAGAACTAACCACCTACGTTATAAGGACTCCTTATTATGTGAGCACAGTAAATGCCTATTATTCAGCAAATTTTAGGAGAATTTGCAGCCAAAAAGATGCCACATTCCTTCACATTAAAATACTATGAATAAATTCCTTAGAAGAGTTATGCTTTGAGAGATAGACCCAACGACTTTAAAAATAGAACCATTCATG